GGAACAGTACATATACTGGCTTCTTCCAATGAATTGCTTGCAGAAGTTTTGAAAACAAATGTCAGAACTTGTTACTCTGACACAGGGTTAACAGTAATGTCTAGAAAATCTCTATTGCCATCATGAGTGTCACACACATTATATGGATGAATAGGGCTATCATGTTCCACTGCTTCCAGCCTGCTACAGCAGGATCGAGAATAACAAATTAATGGAATATACTACTATGCCATCTTTGTCCTGCAGAACACACTACCACAAAAGAATAAAAGATTTTGAAAATCTGGGGGGGGGGCAGGGAAACGCTGCTTATATTATTGCTTCATTCACTCCAGAAAGCAAAATCCATACATTAGATTTGACCAGTATAAGTAATGTAACACTATAACACCTTGGAGCTAGCACCCTTAGACAAGATAGTCTCATAAGAACAGAGAAGTATCTGGCAGAGATCTACTGAGTTAGGAAATTACAAAGATTAAATGCTTTGGAGCTCAGAAATCCCCTAACTTTCAAATGAGCACTGGCTAGAGGAGGATTTGAAGGCACCATAAATCTTTGCCAAGTTCATTTTCTCTCGGCATCTACCTACTGACCCTACTAGAGATTGACCGCTGGGCAAGACCCTGCTACTTAAGACAAATTGCTGTATTCAATGACAACCTGTGATTTAGGATTTTATATTTAGGGTTCTAAACCAGAAATAACTAAATAGGGTCGATTTTCAGAAAGTTCTTAACATCCACACTACAAAACTTAGGTACCTTTAATAACTGTGTTGAGTCTCAAAATTTATACAAAAATTACTAGCCAAGATATTAAAATCACAACCTCTGTGTTTAAGTTAACAAAACCAAAAGTGGCAGTAGCATCCTAAATTTCAGTTAGAGCAGTTTTTGAAACAAAGGGGAAAAGTATTATCCCAAGAATCGAATCAGTTTAGAATCCTTAAAATACATACTTAAACTAGAAACAAGCTGCTGAAAGTTCAGTTAGAATGCAATAGCAAAGAAGAGCACTACCACACTCATTTGAATCACTGCTTCCAACTAGGTAGCTAGCAAGAGAGGCAGGAAGCCTATCAGCTTCCCGTTTGAAAGGGGAAGCTCACAATTCAAAGAAAATTGAAGATAAAGGACTATTGCAAAAGCCTAAATATAACTTTATTTTCCATTCCCTACAAATTTAAAGCATGAAGATTTCTTGTAAATCTTCTGGATCGGAAGAATAGTGGGTAATTAACCTACAATACCTATAGCTTCCCATATGAAGTTGCATCTTACTCTCAAGTCCCTATGAAGTTTACTTGTATCTTTAGCAACACATGCATAAACCTTAAATGTAATGTCTTTCAACACACAAAATGGAGGCAAACACTAAAATCTCCCATTCTTTAAAAGAATAATTACCATCCCTTAGAAGTTACCATCTCCAAGGTACTGAAGGGCCCCATCTGCTGGTAGGAGTTTTACTCTGGAGTATTACACCACTGAGCTGATACCTGATTTTTTCCAACAGTACCAGTTGATAACTGCTTCGTTGGATTGTTTTCTTAAATGCAGCCATACACACCGAAAAAGAAAAATCATTAAGAACAAACACGTATTATGGAAAAACAAAATCCTATGAAGCATTCCTTCCTAAATATGTAAGGCATTTACACAAAGCACTCCAGATGATCTTACCCAACACTAGCTTATTCTTCAGTCAACAGACTGAAAACATCAACTCAATTTTTGCAAACATTGTACTATGACTTACAGCGATTCATAAAGGAGATGGTAAAGTGCACACTAGTTAAACTTGGCAAACATAAAAGGAAGACTTATGTTGCCAGATTTAAACAGGATACATACATAATACAAAAAAAACATAATCAGTTCCATTTATATATTTCAGATATATCCCCGTGTGATAAGGAACATAAAATATACAATAATTATTTATTCATAATAGCTTAGATGGGAATAAAGAAATTAAGATTTCTAAATTAAGACAGAAATACTTGGGTTTAGCTTTCTTCTCTCTGTTAAAAAAAAAAAAGTTCTTAGTTTGTGATGAAAAATTTAAGAGAAGAATATTTAAACATAGAAGAACATAAAAGATGCAAAACTGTTTGGCTAAGTAATACAAAAATTGCTTATGACTATAGTTTAGTTTTGATTAAATGAAAAAATCTATGAGCACCACAGTCTGATCTGCTTAGACAGAACTCTCAGTTCTGAGAAATCTCCACTGATATTGGACTGATATCTTCAAACTATAAATAGCATGCTGTATAGGCTGAAGTTAAGGACTGAATCCAAGATATTTACACAAAAATATTATTTTTCAGTTATTCACATGATTAAAAGGAAGCACAAAGTTTTATGGCTCTGGATTACCTACTTGTCTCAATTGTATGAGGACTTTAGGCTTCTAACTGTTGAGTCTATCCAAATCAGATGCTCAAATACTGCAGACATCCTGAGTATCTGTTACCATGGATATTCCCATTAAAAGGAAAAAAGAACAAGCTTCCACTGCCTGCATTTAAACTATTAATTCCAAGCAGGTGTTTTTGGAAAAAAAGAACAAAAGGAAAAGCTGAAGGAAGGTACAGGACTGAAAAAATAAATAAATAAAATAGTACATTTACATCTGTGTTTTCAATTGCTTGTTTTATGCTTACACCAGAAAATGGACAACTCCAGGCAATGGCAGACAGCCAAAAAAATTCCCAGAAGAGAAACCACTGCTGTCAGAGTCATTAGAGATTTATGGGCTCATGACCCTTGAAAGTTGGAGAAATTAGTTCCGTAACATCCAGACGATGTTTAATCTAACTGTGCCCTCTACTGGCTCGAAAGGTATTTGTGTAAAGGCACAAACTTCAAAGATGCTACTGCTCCTACCTTAAATCTTTAATCTCAGTAAGAAACAGCAGTATGAAGCATTTATTTCTAGGTATTTCTCTACAGCTTACCTTTCAAAATACTGAGATGCATTTTAATAGGCTTCATAACAGTTATGTTGTCACTTTACTGATGTTTTAGATTCCCATACTCTGAACTGTGGTGAATATTACCACATTCCATTTACACTTAATTTCCACAGTTTGGGGCACCTAAAGCAAATAGATTCCTTCAAATAACAGCTTTACTGTTAAAGACTGCCTCCAGAGGTGGAAATATTGTTTTAGTAAATACAAGAATAAACCCTTCTTCCTGTTTACAAAATAAAAACCAGACAGGCTATTACTCACTTTTTTTTTTTTTTTAATAATTTTACATAGCAATGACAACTTTCATTTATATTGTTTTATCAAGTTTAGTACATCTATAATTACTTTCACTCATCACTGAAAGAAGGCTCTGGGATGGTAAACAAGCAGTATCTTAAAACGTCGTACACGTGCTTAAAGTCAAATTGAGACATATCGAAGTCAAAAAGTACATATAATTTTGTACAACCCAAATATACAATGCAGCTTGCCAAAAACATCCAACAGTGCTTTTTGCATATCATATTTTCTGTCTAAGGTTGTTCTTCAGATAGCAATCACGATTTAACCTATTCAGTATATAAAGGAAGACTTGCAAAGAAAAACAAGTGTACTTTTTTCTTCTGTTTCATCTTTATGAAAGAGATGGACAAAAATACTTTGGAAAGAATTACCTTACCGGTAAAAGTATTCAAAATTCACTAATATGACAGGTTATGCTTGCTAGAAGTGAAATTAAGAGAATAAGAGTTTGAAAAGATAAGCAATTGAGAGGAGGAAGTTTTATTCATACTATAGGTCCTGGATTTTCTTTTCTGTGAACAGCAGTGCTTTAATAGACATTAAGGAGGGAAAGAAAAAAAAAAAAAAGAGCTATGTCTGAGATTCAAGAACACCACTGCTTCAGAGATGTGAAGTCAGCACTTATTTCACAGGGCCCCATGGCAAAAGTGAGAGAAGGGAAAAGAAAAGAAACATCGCTAAGATAAGAAGAATCATATAGAAGACAAACTAAATGAAACTCAATTCTTTAGTACAAAAATAAAACATCAAAAGGGCAAAGAAAACTCAACTTTAGTGAGAATTTATTGGGGTTGGAGTGTCAGAATGGCAGACCAATATCAAATCAGCATTCAAATTACATTTTAAAGTTCCTTCCTCTATTATTATTTTTTTTTTTTTAGAAATATGCTAATACAAAGGCTGTTCTGCCAGCCTCTAAGCATTAAGATTCACTTAAAGCCCTGAATTTGAGAAGAAAGTTTTAGGGAACAGCAAGGAGCTGTGACAGAGGAGGGTCAGGCTGGGTGTTAGGAAAAGGTTCTGCATCCAGAGGGTGGTCGGGCACTGGGACAGGCTCCCCAGGGCAGTGGTCACAGCACCGAGCCTGACGGAGCTTAAGAAGCATTTGGGCAGCACTCTCAGATACATAGCCTGATTTTTTTGTCCTTTTTGGAACCAGGAGTTCGACCCAATGATTCCTTGTGGGTCCCTTCCAACTCAGGATACCTTATGATTATGCAAGACTTACAGGATTGACTAAGTTAACAAAGAACTGAAACCAAATCACTGAAGTCAGAAGGAAAATACACTTTAAGTATTGAGTAGTTAACCCCTGAAACAAATTTAAAATGGAAAGACTCCTTAGATCATGAGAGGACACCTTTCTGTGATGTAAAACATTGTATTTCAGAGGAAAGATGCACAAGACCCAGCATAGCACCTGCAGCTGTAGTTACTTGGGCCTGGCAAAGTGCTGGCAGTCAGCTGTTCAGTGAGTGAAGGCAGAACCTGCACCACAGTGCTTACATTATGAAATTACAGGATTGTAGGTACATTAAAGCATTAAGCTGAGAGTTCATAACAGGTCTGGTACGGAAAAGCATCTCCTCCAATTCTGAATATGGTGGAACTGACAAACACACTGCCAAAAATACACTATTCCAAGAAGATCATTATTTAATACAGCGTTTTTAAGCTAGCTGATCAGTCCAAAAACCATCTTGGTTTACATTACCTTGATTGTTTTATCCATAGAAGCTGAGAGAAGCATGTGACTTTGTTCTCGTACCGGACACCACTGGATTTCATTAACAGGACTGCTGTGTTTAAACATATGAAACACTAAGCTTTTGGGGATTTCAGTTAATTTATACTTGGATCCCAAATATGGCTTAATTATTTCAGATATCTTTCTCACTGTCTGCTCTCCTGATACGTCTTGCTTCACATCACAATTTGAGCTTTCACCTGGATCAGACTCTTTTTTTCCACAGGTACTGGAACTTTCTTGACGCAGTCTTTTGGGGATATATGGTCTAATTCCTTTTATAGTTGTAGGACTGTCTTTATGCACTCGCTTTTGGGAAGTGCCATTTCCAGAATTTCTTGAAGAGCTCGATGTCTGTTCATAGTTTTTGTAGGGCACACATAATGCAGCATGGCTGGAGTATGCTTTCCTACAGTAAGGAGATGTCAAATCAGTGTTATTATTTGGTGCATAATGCTCAGGGAGATCTTCACAAACAATACTTATGCCAAAATTGTCAGTGTTCTCAGTAGGCTGCATTTCATATGTAGATTTTGTTCTCAAACTACCAGGTGCAAAGCATTGAACAGGCTTCACCGAAGAACTCGGAAGGCTTGTTTGTCTGCTAGAAGTACTGGGGACTTCAGTCTTTTCAGTTTCTGCCTCGGGGTCTGAATCATCATAAGCAACCAGTGATGAACTCATTATGGCTCGATATAGCAGACACCAGAAATCTCAGTGCTGGAATCTCCAAAGCAACAATCTACAATGAAAAATTGACCATTCAGAGCACAATTTATTATGGACTCCACAATACATGTAACTTAAAGATACAAATTATGCTTTTCTTAACAAAATCCGTGAGTATTTTATTCCCATTTATTCCTGGAATGTATTCCTCTATTATAGCACATCTGTACATTCAATGGTGCAACATCATTTGCCTCCAAGCACTTTGCATACATTTTTAATGCATTGCAGAGATGCATTTGCATACCGCAAGACAAGGAGAAAATGAGTGTGGAAAGGAAAACAAACTTCCAGAGTAAGTACTGCAAATCACTTCCACCTTACTTGCAGTAGAACTCCCTCCTCCTCGCACATAAACAAGAGGGCCAGTGGTTTAGGATGTTCATTTATAATAATACAAATACTACAGGTACTTTGGAGTAACAGTAACAGTTTCTTTCAACTCTTCCATACTGCTAAGTACGAAGGGGTTCAATTGGCTACTAAAAACAGTAAATGTATTTTTGATCCACTTGGTAGTCTTACAGGATAAAGAATTTTTCCCACTATCTCCTTTAATGTAACAGGCATAGGCCAGAAGCTACACTGAATTCACCGCTCACATTTACTTATAGAAAATAAAGTTTACTGTGGAGCTAACTTTCTCAGAACTTTTATGAAAAAGAAATCACACGCTGAGATTGCATATGGAACCTGGAATAATTTACCACTGTAACAATCCCAAAAATCTTTTTTTCCAAAATCTATGTGGCACATGTGGACAATAGGTTTAGCTACATTCACATCATAGATGGTGTCTGAAATAATGTTTAACCTCTGCTGTTTGCAATCAAAAAGCACCGCTACCCTTCAATTACTAAGATTTATTAGATGGCAAATTAAATTACTATTTCTGCTTTGTTTTCTTGCTCAGCTGTGAGCACTCATCATGCTACAATGATTTAACCTACAACACTTCCAGAACAGTTTCTGAAATTTAGGTTGGAGAATCTACCCTCAAAAGCAGCTGGATTGAGACTGCTGTCCAAAAGGCAGTATGTCCATAAGCATTTGCAGAGTTGATGCCACAAATGAAAGTCCTACAAACACTACTGCTGGAGCAGTATGCTGGCACTTGTAATGATTACTCATTTAACTTCACAATGAGATCTATTTGAGTTAAAATGAGCAGGTTTTATTTAACCTACAGCACAGCTACATCACAGGCTGTGGTCTGTATTCTGTAACAAAGCTGGTAAGCACAAACCCCATTCAGACAAACACACTGATCAACATCAGGCCCTTTCCAAGTGATCAGGATGCTTAACTGGAACCCGGCTACTGACGTTTTAGCACATAAAAGCACCAAGATCTCCCTCTAGAGGGCATTTTGTCTTTATCTGTGGTTTATGATAGTTGCAAGCTTCAGCAACTTACAACTGTAAGAGATTTTTTTTTTTGAGTAATACAGCTTCATTTGTTAAAACAGCATCTCACTTAAGCAATTTCAAAGGGAAAAATAACTAAGAAGTGTTCCAGAACAACTCATTTAAAAACAGAAGTAGTAATAAGCACCCTTTTTCCTTCAAGTCAACTTTATTTGACAGTTCTCACCAACCAAGTACTAACACCGAAGGCCTGCACCTCAGTGACTACAGCACGCAGTTACTATTTGTAGCATAAGGCTGGAAACAGACTGCGACCAAGATTCACCATGTAAGTGAATAACTCACAGTAAGAAGCTGACCTCCGGCAGAAAGCTATGAATGAAGATATACGATGTGGGTTAGACTTGCAAAAACTGCTTTATTGCATTTTCAGGCACACAGACAAGAGGCAGCGCGAGGCTCTGGGGTAAGCAGGGGGCCCCTCCCTGCAGGTATCGGGATGCCAAACCAACACCTTGCTGCGGGACACTGCAAAGAAGCCGCTAAACCGCATCGGACGACATAAACCCACCCCGGCACCACACGCAGCCCCCGCAGGCCTCGGTATTTTGGGACGAGCAAAGCGCCCTCCTCACAGGAGCCCCCCCCCCCCCCAAGGCCCCGCCGCGGCCCCCGGTACCTGAGGGGCGGCCCCCGGAAGCCGGCGTCCCGCGGCTGCTCCCCGTTTATAAGCGCGCCGGGCAGAAACCGCCCCCCTCTCTCTAAGCGGCCGGCCTGTGGCTTTTTCCCCGCAGGCACAGCGCGGAGCGGCGGGCAGGGCTGAGGCCGCGGCTCGCTGCGCGATGGCGAGTCCTTCTGCGGGGGTCTCTAGGGGCAGGAGGGGCTGCTGGGAGCGGTTGGGGCAAAGAGGAGAGGGAAACGATGGTTCCGGACGGAGCGTGTTTCCCAGCCGGAACGGGGCGCGGAAGGGGGAGCCGGGCGGGAGCGGCTGTGACACGATCGCGTCTGACAGGAGCGGGCCGGGAGCGGCTGGGAGCGGAGCGGCCGGGAGCGGGGAGCTGCGGGCGGGCAGGGGGGGAGCAGCCGCTGCCCCACGGCCTCTCCTGAGCGCCCGGTAGCGCCCAGCAGCCGGCGGGTGCCTTCCTTCCTCCCGAGGCTTCCCGGAGCGGGCTCTGGGAATGGCGCAGCTGCGCGGCACGCGGCGCCCCGGCCTCAGCGCGGCGTAGCCCCCAGCCAGGCCCGGGGAAGTTGCCCGCGGAGGCTTCTGACGGCGGCGATTTCAGTAAAGGCGGTGTGAGTGCATTCAGGGCTGGCTGTGCTGTGGGAGGGACGTGGTGAAGTCGCGCTCAGCCGCTAATGCAGCTGTCACCTGCTTCTTTATATATCTATATAGGTATTAATGCTGGGAAAGGGGAGCCATCTGCTTCTGTGATTCGTTGTGCCTGAATATGGGCCCTCTAAACTCCATCCATTCGTGTTTCATGCTCAGCAAGGGACCAATATGTGCTGGAGGGGCTCTCCAGAGTTCCTTCTGAAAGTGGGAGATGACAAGGCACTGAGCTTACAACTCCATTTCTTATAAAATCGTTAATGGGTACCTCTACGTATATTTGAGAGGCATATTCCTCCTCTAGTAAGGAAGAGATTTCTAACACGTGTTTTAGTCTCTGAACGTTCAGCTAGCTCCCTTTGGATGTACAAAATCCTTTGAAAGTCATCGGGGTTCTGCGTGGGCACAGAGCTCTTTCCTCATGGGCATGGCATGATAGAGAGTGCCCAGGGTGGATGCTATTTCCAACATACAGCTGTTTGCACTTTTAATTTGTCGCTGTCACCTCTGATTATAGTGCAGGGAAATTAAGAATCAGTGTGAGCTAAGATGATGTCATTTTCCTCTCAAGAAAAACCTCATGCAATAGCTTGGGTGGTTGCATAATGAAACCACTTCAGACTGTGATGCAGCACTTTGCCACGCTGGCCAAATTGCAGTGATATTTTCCATAGAATTTTTTTCCTCTCAGTTGGCTTTTCTCATTAGGGTTTGTACTGCTATCTCATTTTATCAGCCTCAGGTCTTATTAAATTCTTTTATGCATCTCTGTGTACCTTGTTGTTAAAACAACATAGCATGTTCATTGCTTTGAGATAGCTGCAGTTTGACTTGCAGTGTTATTTTTCAGATAGGTTCCTTTCTTATTGTCTTTTAACGCTTATTTTCTTGTATGTAAATACGGCAAAATCAGAATCATAATGGTTTTAAAATTCTCTCTTACCATATTAAGTTACTGCTTGTTTATCTACAGTTCTAAATATCTAAACATTCAGATGCTTGAATTATTACTCAAAAAATGGCTTAGAGCCTATGTACTGCTAAAAGCATCATCATTTAGTACAGGAAGCTGCTGAGCGTGAATATTTTTTTTTTTTTAAATAAGGTTTTTACTCATGGCAGGCTGATAACAGATTCACCAGGTTTCTTAGACAGCAATAAAAGTCTATTTTTTAGATCAGAGAATAGTTAAAGACAATATATCAGGTAAGTTTGGAAAAGTTGGAGGAACATTCCTGAGGTACCATTATGGAAACCATATATAAAATAATAAGTTAATATAAGTAAAATATAAGTTAATTCAATGTAGTCCATATTGCAGGAGTTTTCCACTCTTGGAAACTACTAAGAAGTGTTTGATGTACTCATTAAAATTAAGTACAAGAGAGCTTTTTAGATTATAAATGCATTTTAGATTATAACTGAAGGGATAAAGATCAAGATATTTCTGATGTAGAGTGAAAATAGCCTTGATTTTAATGCCTTTGGTAACCAAAACCTTACACTTTCTTAATAGCATAATTTAACTTCCTGTACTTTCTGTGTTAGCCTACTGTAAACTATGCAGTTGTAATTTCCCAGAGTCTTGTATGCTATTATTTTTAAAAAAAAAAAAGAGTGCTAAGAAACTTTCAGACTATGCCATTGTTAATCATTACAGTATTATCTTTGTTAGCCTGAGAGAGAAGCCCGCTTGGGGAAGCAAGGGCACACGGTGCTAGAAAGCTTCTGTGATTAAGGTGTATGTTGGACATAAGGAAGGCTGCTGTGTTGTTATTCTCAGACTTAAGCCATCTTCCAGCATTATTTTTCACAGAATCACATAATCTTCCAGGTTGGAAGAAACCTCCAAGATCACCAAGTCCAACCTCTGACCTAACTCTAACAAGTCCTCCACCAAACCATATTGCTAAATCTAAATGTCTTTTAAAGACCTGTACTGCTGAAAACCAAGTAGTCTGTAAATTTAAGGAACTATTGCTTACTTGAGGATTGATCGTTTCATAGAAAACAGCATTTCTCACTGATCATCAGTTTTGTGACCTCTGGAGGAAAGCAGTAAAGACAAGGCTTTTCTCTTGTATGCCTTTTTATGAGTTGAAAGACTACTGCATAAATTAAGATAAAATTCCTCATAATGGTTATAAGAATTTCTTGATCATTCAGCTTTTATGGAACAAAATTTGACAGGGTATGAAGTAGTACAAACACATAAATCAGGAGTCAGAAGCTCTAAGTCATAAATACATTTAGTTACCTTGACACCTTTTTGAAAATGTGTTCCAGTGTTACATGGGATACTTAGAAACAACATTGGAATGATCTGTAAATTTATTTGGTGCTCTTGTCAATATCAGTCTTGTTTACTTGTCAATATCAAACTTGCTTGCTCTCTGAAGCTCACTGTGCTGAAGTTCCTACACTTATCAATCTGATATGAATAGAATTAGGTATGGGGTCAATGAAGTTTTTTTATGTTCTTATTCTATTCAACTAACTTTCGAGACATATATGAAAGAATAAAACACACTTATTTTTTTTCCCCCTACAGTTCTTCTGGTTTTCACTGCTGCGCTTTTGAATCTACAAGCCAAAAGACTGGAACTTGAATTTAGTTGAGTTGTAAATAAAAAGATCTTTTACACTGTGGCAAAATGGCTGATAGTCCAAACTGTGACTTGAAATCCCTGAGTCCGCTTCAGCTTTTTGAAAGAGTAACTGAACAAGGAGAGAAAGTCAGAGCACTGAAAGCAGGAAAAGCACCAAAGGTATTTCCATTCCATGTGCTGAACTCACCATTTTTCAGACTAGGTCTGTCTGTAAGAGTGCTGAAGAATGATTGTTCTGAGATCTATTTTGTATTACAGTAAGAAAAAAATCTTGTTTTAAAATATTTATGTTTAATACTTAGCAAAGATAGTTATTAGCAAGAGCAAAGTTGTGAAGAACAGAGAGCTGTAGGCCTGCTTCAGCCAGTTGCTTTGCTACATAATGGGATCCAAGGTATTTGGTTTTCAAATGAAGTTTATATCATTTTCATTCTGCCCTGGTTTTAGATTCTCTGTTTAAATCTTTCTGGGAGCATTATCGTACACCTTAACAAATCTGTCTTCCTGTAACAGTCCCTGTTTAATCTTCCTGTAATAATTTGCCATTAATTTTCAGTTCTGTCATCACAATGTTGGCAAAGAGACCTCAGGTTTCATATAGTCTCTCTTTGTGGATTGCATGTGGGAACTAAGCCTTGGAAACTAGCCATTGTATAAAACTTGATGCATTTATTCCTTGCAAGAGATGTTACAATAGTTTTGTATTTAAAAAGTCATAGCAGTGGAAGTTGTGAAGAATTTAATGTTGTCTTCAAGTCTGTCATTGAATTGTAACAAATATGTTATCTTCAGGTAAACCACTTTTATTAGAACATTTATTCTAAAGTCAATTATTGTATTTTACTGTATCCATGTATCTTAGAAATCTGTGCTTAAAATGTTGAGCTTGTTATCCCTCCAAAAAACAGGCTTTTTTTTTCCCCTTCAGGCAAAAATAAGAGAAGTGAAACAGAGGTACTTTAAATACCTTGCCAGTGATGTTCTAAGTTCTGCTGGTTAGGAAACTCTGTCACCTGCTGTTTTCTTTACTTTTACCTTTGGCAGTGATGCTGCAAACATAAATGAAAGCTTAGAGCTTACGAGTAATGCATTTCAAGTCAAACAATGGATACAGAATTTTGGAGGACTGAGACATGTAATTGTCTATCTCAATTGTGTCAAGTTAAACAGCTGTTTTTCCTTTATTCAGGATGAAATAGATGCAGCAGTGAGGATGCTGTTATCATTAAAGCTGTCATATAAAACAACAACAGGACAAGATTATCAGGCAGGCTTACCTCCAACAGACCTTGCACTAATAAACAATGGTACAACTAAAGAAGAGGATGATGATTTCGTGGACCCCTGGACGGTGCAGACATCAAATGCTAAAGGCGTGGATTATGACAAACTCATAGGTAAAGCTCTTTCTTCATTGCTTCTAAGGAATTTATGCAGAGCGGTCATAATGACCACAAAAACAGTATATAAGGAATCATAACAAACCTTGATCAACACCATTATGTATAACAGTTTGTGTTTAATGTTAGCATTCATGTCTAAAGAATTTGCTGTAGAGGTTGAAAATGTCCCAGGCAGGGATTTCCTGTGGAAGACTTAAACATGTTGCAAACAACTTTTCAGTTTAAAATCTTAATCAGTTTGTTTTTAACATAAGTCCTGTTATTAGAAGTTACGTGAATCAAGACATTGTGAATGGGTATATGTATCTTCAGTTTTTGTGGTGCAGAACAGCTAGAGCCCAGAGCATTCTGTATTAGGGAGAGCAGGGATGGTCCAAAAGTAATATACAAATCTGTAAGTGTAATGACACCTTCACCAGGCACACTATCAAACAGGCCCGTGCTGGCTGGGATGGAAAAGGTATCTCTCATGCAAAAAAAAAATGTATGTAATAGAAAATATTTCAGATAAGGAAGCTACAAAACTTGCAAAGTTCTGTAATTTAAGAAACAGGGTGTTAGTTAACTGTTACATGTTTTATAGCCTATTTTTACAGTTTGAGTCCATAGCATAGAAATAGGTGAAAGAACTATTCATTAATTTCTACTGTTTTTGCTTTTTAATGAAATGTTTGTACCTCAGTGAAAATTCTGTACCAGTTGTACATGGCTGGTGTGAGAAACAAGCTGTTAAGCAAACATAGAGCATACACCCTTATGTGGTGGTAACCATGTGTTTGCTTTTGGGGATCAGTTGTTAGTGTCAGCGTTCTTTTAACTCAGTGTGATGTTACTGAATGATCACATCAAATGTATGTGTGTATTGGCTTAGTCTGCAGAAGGCAGTAGGAGAAAGGAAAAGTTGGAAAGGGGGACATGTACAGAGAAAGATATATGTCGAGTAGGGAGAAGGAAGAAAGATAATTGTTAGAATCTAGAAACGGACCTAGAATCTAGTTAGAATCTAAAAAAGATCACTCATTACCTGTGTAGATGTGGAGAAGGCTTTTTTGTTTTCTTGGGGAGAGTTCTAAATCTTGTATAATAGTGGAAAGAGTACAATACTTGTTTTGGCACAGTCTCAAAGTCTTTTTGAGAATGGCTAGTATGACTTCACTGTAAATCAATTAGCTAAAGTAATGCTATTATTCTGCCTGACAGCAGTATCCTTTCTTCCAGCACCCATTTGTGTATGTGTATGTCCTTTTCACCTATTCAGCAATGGAGAGTTAGACCAGTTCTTCGTTATTTACACTACTAACGGACTGGGGAATTTGGTGGATGAGTCATTCAGGTTATTTTAAGGGAAACGTGGAAGATTATTCAGAGAAGAATGCTAGCCACTCCAGGAAATGCAACAGTTACTGTTTGCTCTTGCCTTTTAAAAACAGTAATGCAAAGTATTGTCCAAGAGCTTAATGTAATAGCTCTTACAATAAAGGAAATTTTTGTTCCACCTACAGTCTTTTTATATGCTAGTGGTACCCTATAAAGTTGTCAGTGTGTTTGTTTTAACTCAGGCATAGAAGAAATGAAAGTGCTAAGAGCATGTTGTGATTGAAAGGAGTGTTATTCTCAAATGGTTGTCCTGGATGTACACTTAAGTGCCTGCTTGTGCACCAAACCAGATATTCTGTTAAGTGCTAGAGGTGAACATCCCTAGACAATGTGTGGGTTTTTTGTGTTTTGAGCATGAGAAGAGAGCAGAAGGCTAAGTCAGAAGGAGCTCTGTATGTTAACAATGCTAATACTTCAGTGAGCTCAGTATCACAAGTGATACACAACGTTTGCAGTTGGTGGGAGATCATCTAGTCAAGTGCCCGGCTTAAAGCAGAGTCAATGAGAGCACATTGCTCAGGACCTTGTCTAGTAGGATTTTGAGCATCTTCAAGGGTGCAGAACCCACAGCCTTCCTGGGCAACCCATTCCCCCATTCAACCATACACACAGTATGAAATATATCTCCTTTACTCCCCCCACCTCCCCTGCTCGGATACTTATACACATTGATAAGGTCTCCTCCCCGAGCCTTCTCTTCCTCAGAGTAAGCAATCCCAGCTCTCTCAGCTCCTCCTCATATGACAGACGGTCCAAGTCTTTCACCGTTATGGCCCTTTGCTGAGTTCATTTTCGTATGTCTGGATTCTTCTTGTATTGAGGAGCCCAGAACTGAACCCAGCACTCCAGGTGTTTTTCACCAGTAGTTATAGAGGGGAAGGATCAGCTCCCTAAACCTTCTGGTAGCACTGTTACTGATGCATCCCATGAGGCCATTGAGCTTCCAGTGCCACAGAGACACGTTGCTGGCTTTTTTTCAGCTCCTTGTCCACCAGGAGCCTGAGGTCATTCTCTTCCAAGCTGCTTTCCAGCCTGTACCAGCACACAGAGTTACTGCTCTCCACATTCATGACTTTACCTCTGTATGACTTATGACTTATATGACTTATATATATGACTCCATGACTTATACTCCATATATATAGCAAGAGTAAAGCTGTCTTTTGGGAAAAGATAGAGATCAAAGAGATCTTGTCCAACCCCTCTGCTCGAGCAGGGCCACCTGTGGCAGGTGGCCCAGGGCCATGTCCATGTGGCTTTGGAAGATATCCAAGGAGGGAGACTGCAGAACCTCTCTCTGTGAGATTAGCCTCTTGCCATTTGTTGTTGTTCTGCTGAATCAAACATTTTTCGTGTTCATTTGGTCTCTATTTAGCATTCATCCAAATTACAATTACTTTGGCACTTTGTAATGCATTTTATTTGCTAGGCAGAAATTAAATCAGCAATTAAGGTCTGCCTGGGACAAGCACATTTGGAAACAATCAGAAGACATATGGATTAAAGTGGTGTTTGCTGAGTCATGAACCAGCATTTATCTTCTTTAGTGGCACTTATTTTAACGAGTCAGTGGATGGGCCTGGTGCTTCCTTGGTGTGCTGTCCCACCTGAGCCACCTCCAGGGAACGGACAGTTGCCAACAGGAATTTGTTCACCATTATCCAGTGGGAAACAAGAGGTCTTGTTTTCCCTCCCATTTAGTAATGGATTCATGTAACTTTAAGTGTACTAACTATGTAAAAAGCATTGTATTAATACTGTGCATAACCAGTAACTCTAGAAGAAAATTAAATAGGTGGAGAGGGACTGAAACTGCAGAAACATATTCAAGTTGATGCTCAAATTGGATGCATTACTATTCTTCTTTCCTGTCAAGAGTCTCTCCTGCCTTTCTTTCAGTGGGAGTTCCTGATTTTTGTTTATGCAGCAGTTCATTTAATAGTTCACCTAGCAAAGTACAGCATTAAACACACATCCCAATTTTCAGCCAGACTGTCGGAGGGGAACTCCCTGTACTCAGTGTTTCTCAGCATCCCAGTGCTCTAGGGTACATGTTGGGCTTGGTCTTCTGAACCATCCGTTTTGAGCACTGCAGTCTCAAGCATTAGGATGGCCATGGTCTTAAATAATCCTTTTTGAGATGTATACAAAGCCTTGATGGACTAATACTAGCCTCCATGCTGTGCTTTGAGAACCTGTGCTGTGAAGGGTTGGAAAGCCTCTTTCCCTCCTCTGGGAAAGAGATTGGTGTAGTCTGGCTGTATAATAAGCCAAGGGTATCTGAATATTTGGCTTTCCAAATTACCCCAAGTGTATTCAGTATTCCTTGATGCCCCTGTAGATTAATTTTGTGTGTAAAATGAGTTGTATTCCCAAGGCAGTGCACTGAAAGAGTTCTGCCTCCAGTTGGAATCAAACTCTTTTTGTTATCCAGTGGTCTAAACTGTTACACTGTCCAGCTAAGGATCATTACCACGTGCTAGGATGTAACATCAGAAGTCCACCTGCTCTAGTAAGAAGTCCTAGTCTTTGGAAGAACATTTCAGTTAATTACTGCATCCCTGCAGAAAGGCTTGTTTTTTGTGTTTGTTTGTTTTTAACAGACAGATACAGATTATTATATACCTAAAAATGTACTTTTTATCTATTTTGTTCTCTTGATTAGTTTGTCTATCCCAGTAGCTAATACTGCAGGTTGTTCTAATGCTGAGTAGAGAAAAATATTAGGAAAGAGTAGATTCCTGTCTAGATCATTTTGAGCGAGTCAAAATCACAGAGAATTGACATGATTATTAGGGTCCAGGAATTGGGATTGGAGTATAGGAAGCTCTAATGAAAAAAATAAAAGATTTTACCAGTTCAGTTTCAACTGCAATGGGAAAAAAATGCTGCTGTTTCTGTCTGACAAAACCCTTCTTTAATGAAATCACTTCCTCTGAAAATATTATTTTATTTTAATCAGCTGATTTCCTAAACTGTTTTCCAAATAATGTCTTACGTGAATGCAGTGAAGGGTATTATGCATTACCTTTTCAAGCCTCTTGAGGGGAGCAGTGTCTGTAATCATGGCAATATAAAGAAAAATGAAGTTTAGAGAAGAGCATTTGGGGTTGAAAAGAGGAAAACATGATTTGAGGGCTGAAAATTCAGACATCAAGAAAGGAATATTCAGAGCCTCACAGCCATTCTTATCCTGTGATTTATGGAGGCCAAGTTATTGACCTAAATATGTTTCTCTGGATTTTTTTTTTTTGTTCTGAATAAGCATACTCCTTGTGTAAGGAGACTGCTATTATAATTAATCATAGATGAAGCAAATGGGGAGTAAATTGACTGGTCCTGCTAGCATAGAGTTAATATCAGGGACTACTGCTGGGACTCCAGGAAAGAATCAGGAAAATCTAGCCATTTTACATTTTTCCTAAAATTTAAAGATGTTCTTTTTGATCTAGGCTGCATTGGTATGTTCTTGGTAAATGCAAGATCTCTTCATAGCTATGCTATACTTAATTTTATTTTATTTTCTAATATTTTATTCTTGTAGTTCGGTTTGGCAGCACTAAAATTGACACAGATCTGATCAATCGAATAGAAAGAGCTATTGGGCAAAAACCTCACCGCTTTCTACGCAGAGGAATCTTTTTTTCTCACAGGTGAGTTTTTCTCATTAAAACTCAAAAAGGCAAGATTAGGTAGACTTTCTGTGAGCATTACTGGGCTCTTAGGCTTTCTGTGAGCATTTGTTCTGATTAGCAAAAGACCATGTTCTTTACGCCAAGGTAAACCAACTGTGAATTAATTGAAACTAGCAACTACTCCAGGTTTACCCTGTCAAAACTTGAACCACTTTGTTTTTTCTGGGTACATGCATCTTTTTCTGGTATGTCTTCACTTATCCTAAATAGAAGGAGAAGTGTGCAGGGAATCTTTGCTTTGTACAGGTTCCATTTTGAGCCAGTATGTAAACAGCCAGATGGAGAATTTGGTCTGGCAAAGAACCCCAGGTCTCATATGCTGGCATTGCTGATTTCAGCAGGGGTCCACATGGCTTGTGGACCTATACTTCTTTATTGTTACATAAAAAAGGCTCAGGGAATAATCTTAATCACCAGCCTGACAGTCATCTACACTGTTTAGTTGTTAGCATGCATAGACTTTTGGCAGCTAGCACTTTTCAAGTAAGTGCCTGAGCATGATTGAGAGCATAACCTCCACCACAGACCATTCCAACCAGGTTGCTTTAACATAACACCTTATTTGGGAAATGATTCCCAGCTCTGTTTTATGAAGCTTTAGAAATTATTATCCAATTAAGTAAATTTCTCTTTGTTTTTCCTCATAAGCTGGATGAAGGAGACAATCCTTTTCTTAAATCAGAAAACTAATTGAATATATATATATTTCTAGGACACTTAAGATACTGTATTTCACTTATTAATACATTTGGCTTTAAAAGCACTTGAATTTTGAATAGAAAAGAATTGCAGAAGATATTTCTTCTTAAATTCTTTGAATTGTGTCATGTTTTCCTTTGTTTGTTTTTTCTTCTTCAGAGATATGGACCAAATCCTTCATGCTTACGAAAATAAGAAGTCCTTTTACCTTTATACAGGCAGAGGGCCGTCCTCTCAGGCAATGCATGTTGGTCATCTTATCCCATTTATATTCACAAAGTAAGCTACTTCTGTAATTTTCATTAATCAAAACTTTTTTTCTAAGGAAATATTGAATGCTTCTTAGGGAACTAAATGATACATTGCAATGAGTTTTCTTTGTTTGAGGTGAATATTGATGAACAATGCAATATTAACATTTCGTTAACATGACAATAACCTGTATTACCATAAAGCCTTCTCCTTGCACCTGAAGCTTGACGGCACTCCTTAGAATTTTTGTTTTTCTTAAACACGAGTTGCAAATGGTGACTGCTAACATATGTACAGGAAATGAGTATGAGTCTTTTTTTTTTTCCAGGTAAATTGTCATTATGATCTATATGAAATCTCTGCTCACATAAACATAAGTAACTGCATGTGGTGCAGTCCTTTGTATATCCTTTTGTTTAAATGTGTAAAAATATTTTTAAGTGTGTGGCTAAAATATCTTTTATTTTTAATTATTCTGAGATAAAATTTTTCTGCTTTTATAAGGTGGCTGCAAGAAGTATTTGATGTTCCCTTAGTTATACAGTTAACTGACGATGAGAAGTACCTCTGGAAGGATCTGACAACTGAGAAGGCATATGAATATGCAAAAGAAAATGCAAAAGATATCATTGCATGTGGTTTTGATGTCAATAAAACCTTTATCTTTTCCGATTTAGACTATTTGGGGTAAGTATAAATTTCTTTGGAGCATCGAAACCAAAAATTTTTCTGTATTTTCTCTTCTACTTTGACAGCCAACAGTGTTTTAACTATCTAGATTTGAAAGCTTCAAGACAAGCTTTACAATACTTAAAGGAGAAACATTTGTTTTTATGCTGTTCAACATCTTATATATATATCCTCTTGTCATTCTTCTGTATAATATATAAACAAATACTTGTGTGTGCAGGACTTAATATATTTTTGTAATTTAAATTTAAAGCCGCTAAAATGTAAAAATACCTAAACCACCAAGAAAACTGCATGATGATTTTAAGATGGCATCAAAATTTTGAGATGTGTTTGTACTTTATCTGCATTAACTAAAGGCATTTCATCAACTGTTATTGTCAGTTAATTTAGCAGCATGAAAGATTATCATTTGAACTTTGAGTAAACTTTAAAGAAGATTTAAGAAAAAGAAACCTCTGTTGGAGCTGCCTTCTTAGAAAATCCTCTCATTATCATCTCCATGGGCCACAAAAAGACCAAAACAATGCCCTCAGAGATTTAATCCTGCAAGTTTTGTAACATTCTCAGCTTTTGGAATGAAAGCTTTTATCTGTGCTTTCCCACTCTTCTTACTTTGTTTTTCCACTTTCTTTCTCACAGGTCAAGTATGGGATTCTACAAAAACATTGTCAAAGTTCAGAAGCATGTTACGTTTAACCAAGTGAAAGGAATCTTTGGCTTTACAGACAGTGATTGCATTGGTAGGAAATAACATGGGTTACTGGAAGTGATCCTTGCTTTTACGTTCTGTGGCAGTATTTAAGTAACCATTTGAAGAGAGATTGGTATCTGCCATTCATGAAACAGATGGGAAAAACAAGATCCATGTTTCTAAGCTGATTCTAAAAGGGTGTTATTGTGGTTTCTTCAGTATAGAAAATGCTTGACAGTGAAATTCCTAGGATGTAGCATTAATAACAACAAAGTGCAAAACACAGAAGTTGAAGTGATCAGGACAGAGAATAATTCTTGGTTTTTAGAACTATTATAGCTATAGTCAACTGTACTTCCTAGAAATTTCTACTGCAAAAGTAGAAGACTTTTCATACACATGTGAGAAAAGATAAGGAGTGCTCAAAAGCCTTATTGTCATGGTGCTAGGTAACTGTCTTCCATTTACTTCCCTGCGATTGGAGGTTTCTGTCACGTTGGCCAAAGAAAGATTCTGTGTCAATGATGGCATTAAAGCATTGGTGTTCCTGAGTGCTAGCATCATTCTCTGACCAATAATTGGTCAGCTTTTCAGACTTAACTGTAGCTGAAAAACAGATTCCTATTTCTGCCTTCCCAGTGTTCTAATAAATGTTGGTATTGTATGAACGACTTCATTCCATGTTTGGAAAAATCAACTACTTTCTGTTCTGAGAAGATTTTAATGAGAAAGTAGGTTGTTCACTCTGTAAGTACTACAGAAAAAGAAAGGTAACCACATCTGAGATTTTTGAGCAGCATGCACATAGCAATGGTAGTAAGATCTTAGAGGAGACTTTGCCTGATAAGTATCTCTATACTAATTCTCTCACAAAGAGAATGTGAGAGGGGAAAAAAAAAAAAAAAAAACAGCTCAGAGTAATGATACAGTCAAGTATATTTCTGTGAAAGATAGACTATTCAATGATGAAGGAAAAGCATAAAAAGCATGTGTTGCTGAACCTTGACCTGAATCATTGTGATCACAGCCTGCACCTTTTTTATTAGTACCTAAATTAGTTTGTTGATGGTTTGTTGAGCTCATGGAAGGTACAGATGAAAAGGTTTCCTCAGCTGAGGCAATACTGCTTGGTAAAGACAAGTATTGGTCTTCAAGTGAGTATCCAAATGACTCACATGTGCATTTTACATATTTCAAAAGGTTCTCTCTATTTGTCATTGCATATATTGACTTCTCACCTTTTCCAAACTTCTTATGTTCTAGGAAAGATCAGTTTTCCTGCTATTCAAGCAGCTCCATCCTTCAGTTCATCATTTCCACAGATCTTCAATGGCAAGGAAGACTTACAGTGTCTTATTCCGTGTGCTATTGATCAGGTAAGGAAATCATATTTTCATCATAGTGAGCCTTAACTTGCAGCACCAGGGATTTATGTTGTGCCCTAGGGGAAAACCTTCTATCAGTAAAAGTAAAGAAGCATTGGAATAATGTGTCAGAAAGGCTGCAAAACCTTAACAACTGAGATTTATAAAGAGAGGATGGAGGAACATGTGGCCATTAAAAATAATTATCCATTATTAGTTTTTCACGTTGCCAGTCATGAAGTAGCAAAGAGAAGTCCAAGGACAATTAAGAGGGACTTTAAGGCTTTGGGGCAACTGATTAAAGGACCAAGTGCATGGATAGCGATTTCCTCTATCCTTCCACTACCAGGGAACAATATTGAAAGGAACAGGCAGATGCAGGTAATTAATACATGGCCACAAGACTGGTGTCACCAGCAGAATGTTGGGTTTCTCTGTCATGGGATAGTCAACACAACAGCAGGCCTGCTGGTGCCTGATGGGTTGCACCTTTCTCAGAGGGGGGAAAGGATTTTTGCACATGAGTTATCAGGGCTGATGTATTGAGCTTTAAACTAGTTTTGAAGGGGTAAAGCTTGCCATCTTGGTCAGTATCCACCTCCAAATCCTTGTAAATGTGTCTGTTAAGTGAGGAAGTCAGAATGTACAGTGAAATTACGGAAACTGAAAAAAGGGGGGAGACTTGGGTTTTGTTTGTTCCTCTGGGTGGACCAAATTAGGGATATTGTTTAGTGGTAGACTTGGCAGTGCTAGGTTAATGGTTGAACTAGATGATCTTAGAGGTCTCTCCCAACCTAAATGATTCGACAAGTCTGTGAATTGGAAATAGGTTACTGGACTTACTTTTTTTTTTTTTTTTTTTTCCTGAGACCACCTGTGAAGGCATAAACAATCCAACACTAAGCAGCCTTTAAAACACATTTCTCAACTTTATTCTGTGCTTTATTCCAGGATCCTTATTTTAGAATGACCCGAGATGTAGCACCAAGAATTGGATATCCTAAACCAGCCTTACTGCACTCGGTCTTCTTCCCAGCCTTGCAAGGAGCACAGACAAAAATGAGTGCTAGTGACCCCAACTCCTCCATCTTCCTCACTGATACACCCAAACAAATCAAAACAAAGGTAAGGATCTTAAAAACGAGCTTGCAAAGTTTTATGACAAATAGAAGTGGTGCTGCTCATGTTTACAATGGCAAATTTTTAATGTTTCCTTTGAACACATGGACATTTTGGCATCCTTTTTCCCATACATTTCATTGCAAAGCATCTTTAGCAGTTGACCAAGTTACACAAATTTGGCTAGACTATCAAATGTAATCTTTTGCCGTGCTAACTAAGCTAACAGTGCAAACATTCAATAGAATAATGTACGAAACATAATGTTTGTTCATCTGATAGGTCTGAGTAATAGTCTAAGAATAAGATCTGTGGAGGCTCATGCACTAGAAACAAACATTATGTTGCCATAGTTTTGGAATCTAACAGTCCTTGATGTAAGTCAAATAAACAGCTTTCTTTTGACTGCCTCTCCATGCCAGGAGCACCAGGTGTTGCACAATAGCAGTTAGAACACACTCCAGACTTTCCTTAATGCTTGGGGATCTGCTGCCATGCACTTCATCCTCAAACTTGCAAATAAATATTTTGATTTTCACCTAACTTTTAGAAGGGCTATTTTCTCCTATCCGAGTATATTCGTAGTGCCCCATTTAGTTCAAAGGAAAATCTCTCTTAACCCATGTCAGACAGTTAGGTTTTGCAAAAGTTCATGTGTTATAGTATTAAAAAAAAAAAATTAGAAAAAGGTTTTGGAAACAGACAGATAGACAAGGTAACCAGACATGAAGTAACTATCAATCACAAAAAGAAAAAAGGTATGCATGTTGTTTCTGCTAGGTGGGCTTGGATTCATTGTCTTGTGGTTGACAAACCCATATATTGGTCAGATTCTTCTGCAGTCATTTCATGAGAATTCATTATCTTATGCAGAAACTGATTAAACAGTACTCCAAAAATTAGAATTCTTCATGTGTTTGGATGATAAGAATTCCAGATTATTTGTAGAGTTACACAGTTGCTTTTTAAAAAGCACCTATAATCTCAGAACAGAGGATACACTGTTAGGGGTAATATTAATAATCTTCCATTTTTCCTAGCAAATAGGTAGGATCTGTGAAGAGATCCAAGATGATTTATGTCTAATTAAAAGAAGTCCTATTTCTGCTATCTTTAAAAATGTGGGAAAAATAACAAAATAATTCTAGTTACTTGGAATATAAAAATTATAAAGAATGAATCCTGAACACATTGTAAAACATCAAGTAATGGAGGACAAACTGAGAATCATTTCAGCTTCTGAAGCCCATCATAAAGTAACTATGGAAATAGTGCTTGAGTGAAAGACCAAATGTTTTTATGGCCAAGAAATGAAAAATTAGAGTAGGAGAAGTGATTTCTGGTGATGCACGAAGGTTAAAAACAGAGTGTTGAGTACAGAGTGCAGAGTACAAAAAAATTACTGCTTGCAGCATTTTTCAGATCATTAGTACGTTGCTAAGTAGAGAGATTCAAAACTTCCAGGTAACATAAGGTGAACAATTAGTAGCTACTGGAAAAGGCTGAGAAGCTTCTGGGAAATCCATTCAAAGGAGATGAATGGCAACATTATAATAAACTATTTTATCTGTAATAATTCAGAGAAAAGATCAATGCATCACCAGGTAAATCATTCAAACCTCAAGTCAATGCCAGAATATGTAAGAAATGAGCTCAAAATTAATGTAGGAAACATTTTGTATAAAACAATTTTGTGCTTTCACCTGGCTTGTTGTATTTAATCCCTCTCACTTTAGTAGGAAAAGAAACTGTAAAGATTATGAGTATAGGGGAAAAAAAAAAAAACAACACAGAAAGCCTTTCAAAATCTAGTAAGGAACAGGTGAGGGGAAGTGCAAAACAATACCTAAAATCTTAATTTTACAGATTCTGAGACAGCTATTCAGGTTGTTGTACAATGTAAGAATAGATGTAATGTGACAGGTGGCAGTTTATTTTCTTAAGATATTCATTGCTGCATAATTTTTGTAATTCACTGCCACAAAACATCATCATACAGTAGTTAGAAAGAATCAAAAAAACATTGTGTGTTATATAATACAGATAATAAGAATGTTCTGAAATTGTAAATATATAACAGTTCCTAAGTACCAGAACTAGTAAAATCTTCCTCCATAGGCATGTGTGTCTCCTAGCTGGTTGCTCTTGATGTCTGAATAGATACAGGATTCAAAGAAAGCCCACCTTATGGTTGAAGAAGGCTTTTTTCCTCTTCCTGGCTATTAGCTTTGTTTGTATTTGTGGCACAGTTAGCATCCTCTGAGATTTCTATACATGTAAAAAAATTAAAAATACGCCAGTGGCTTCTGAATTAGCTGGGAGTGGGATTAGCAGGAAAATATATTCACCAGTGCAATTCATCTGCCCACAGGAAGCTATGCATAAAAGAAAAAGTAGGGGAGTGGGAATCAGCAAATATTCCATTTTTAGACTGAACAATTGTGCATTTGTCTAGTGATAGCCATTCTAGCTAGGGTTTTGTAGTGTTTAGCCTTGCTTTCTTTAGTTTTCATTTTCCCTGAAAAAGAGGCTAGGTTCTCTCTAGGATTTCTTCAAAAATTCTCCAGGCCTTCTTCATCTCTTTCAAAATTAATTTCTTAATGGGATGAATATCCTATTTCTTCTTACAGAAAGTACATTTTCTATAAGTACAAAGTCCATCCAACTGCCAACAGCTTCAACAAAAGGCATTTTTTTGACAAAATAAGGTGTGGATTCTTCTTGATTTTTGCTTCAATTTTGGTCTGGCGTACTCTACAACCTGTGGAGTATGTATGTAGCATTTTTCTCTGCTGACTTCCAATGACTACCTTTTGCCTTCCTGCTCCAGTATCGGTGCTCTGCATTAACTTGTCACAGACACCCTTCAGCTTCTCCTGAATTAGAGGATTTGGAGGATTGTGATGTACCTCTTTACAATATAGTAATATGCAATTTAGCAGAAATTATACCATAAAATCTTTGCATTTTTCCAGATTAACAAGCATGCCTTCTCGGGAGGCAGAGATACTATCGAAGAGCACAGGAAGTATGGAGGTAACTGCGATGTTGATGTGTCTTTCATGTACCTGACTTTTTTCCTCGAAGATGATGACAGGCTTGAACAACTGAAGCAGGTAAGTAGCCAACTTGAACAGAGCATTATTCATTCCTTACTGTGATGACAAGGCTGTAACTAAATCCTGCTATGAGCCTGCCTTCTGCAGTAAGGCAGTTGTGTTGTTATTCTTACAGTCTCCATTCCTTCCAAGTTTTTATATCAAGACCCCTGTATTTTTGTTGCAATGTTCATCTTTCTCACAAGTCGTTCTGTCTTTTTTTTTTTTTTTTTAAGAAAACTTTTATTTCCAAGTATTTTCATAAAGATTTCCAACACCATATAGCAGTATCTTCCCAAATTTTTAAATGATTCCACCTTAGGATTAATGTTATTTTTAATTGTATAATGAACTCTGCCTGTTCCGTAAAGTACCTAAATACTCAGCAGCTTCAAAAGCTTGCTGATCCTTTTTTTTTTTTTTCTTATCATCAAAAGAACAGTAATAACTATGACAAATTGATTAAGTGAGCCCAAGCACAAGCTGCTTTGTATAAGTTACATGTCCCTAAACCTGTTTGGCAGACTTCAGTCCCTAGAGATAGTACCAAGGCATTTCACTGCCTTCAACTTTGGTGTCATATCAATACTAGGCAATACACGTTCTTTTGAATGCAGTATATTTAGTTAATAGTACCCACATCTTATCGGTTTATCAGCTTTCTCCTGGTAGAAACAGCTTCAAGAAGGGCAAGAGCTACAGATTCTTCTCTAACTTTCTGCTCTTTCCCACACAAGAACAGGGTTGGATAGCTACTAATCCCCCTGGAAATCTGCTACAAATTCCTTGTGGAAATCTGTACATTTGACACGCTGAGCAATTTTCCATTAGTCTCCAACCACTGAAACAAAATCAGTACAACTCTGCTACTGGGAGCACAAAGCCTGTACTACAGCCAGCAGCTTACAGCACTGTTGCCTCAGAATCAGATTAGAAAACATGAAGTTTGTGCCTATAGTGGCATTAGAGGAGCTGTTTCAGTACAGTACCACAGGGAGAAGCTCTCAGAACTGGGTACTCAGAGAAAGCAACATCAGTGTTATTGACAAAGAGAAAAAAAAAGATTAAAAATAAAAACTGAAATTAAAACAGTTCATTCTTATTAAGATATTTTACTTACTTATTTTATAATACCAATTCAGTATTACAAATAGTGTAATCACAAGGGGAAGTAAGTTTATCGTGTTCATTGTCATTTCAAATCATAGTTGAACTGCCCCAGCCGTGTTTTCTAACCAGGGCTGAACCCAGTCACCTGTTTAGCTGAAGTGTTTTCAGTAGCAGAGCAATGGCGTGGCTTACCCACTGTGAACAGAGATTCTGAGTTCTTTCCTGTAAAAAGGATACTTCAGTCACATCTAATACCTTACCCAAACTAGATGAGAGAACAGTATGAGAATTTGAGCCCAGATTAGGGTAATTCTTTATTTGAAATAGTATGTAAGGGAGAAAAACAGTTTCCTGCAAATAATTACAGGATTTCCCAGTTAAATTCTTGTGAATGTATCTTATTTATTCCATATAATTAGTCATACATTAAAGTGCCCATCTGCCTTAAATCTTTTAAAACACAAGCAATTTTTACAAGTTACATTTTCAGAGTGATACCACATGATCTTTTAAGGCATGTGCTTGTTTTTAAGACATCCAGATCTTCATTTGCCGTGACCAGACTTTTAAGAAATATTTGTCACTAGGTCCTTTTCCATATAGCACCATACTTAGCAAGCAACACTTTCTTGACAGGCATACACAAGTGGGGAATTGCTCACAGGGGAGCTGAAGAAGGTGCTTATTGAAACATTGCAGCCCATGATAGCAGCTCATCAAGAGAGACGGAAGCAGGTCACAGATGAAGTGGTGAAGCAATTCATGACTCCACGGAAGCTAGCTTTTGAATTTTGAAGAAATGCTTATGTAACTTACCATTCAATGAACCAAAATTGATTAACTGTTGTCTTCTGTTGTATATGATCATTCCCTAGTTATGTACAGCCTGCAATCACTCCTTTATAAATATTGCTCTTAGTGAGTTACTTCGTATGAACATCAGAGTACATGAAAAATTGAAAACTGGACTCGTATCTACTTAAAGTCAAAGTGTGTTAATAAAGGCATTGAATCTGTACAAGCCAGAATTACCCAATATTGCAGTGAGGCATGTCTGTCAGCACAAGGCTATATTTTATTGTATTTCATGTTGAAAATATGAATAAAAATGCCATTTTAATGATGAAGTCTAACTTGTAAATTGTTGTAGATATGTTGTTAAGAGGTCATATCTCAAACTGGTAGCTCCATTGTTTTTTGTGTTGCTTGGTTTACTAGACTACGTGTCCTTTGGGGCTACTGGGAGCATGTTTCACACACAAAGAAATTGGATGTTACAAAGCAGATTACACAGTGACTTATGGATCAATGCAGAAGGAATGGAGATCTGTGAATTAAACATGGGAGAACGAAAATCAGGCTGGTTTTGCTATCTTACTCCTCTTTGACCTGGGGCAAGTCACAGAAATTTCACTGTACTTCAGTTTCTGCAGCTGTTTAACTGGTCTGAATGCCTCTGAAGGGAAGAGGCAATCACAAGGCTATAAAGTTCTTTGATATTCTCAAGTGGAAGATATTAGAGAAATGCAAATTTTAGTTATGAAAATACTAGATGTTAAATAATACTGTGAATATGAAGTTGCAGCTGGACACAGGGATACTTACAGTGCTGCCCTGTCCTATTCTTCTGCACCAGGTCAAGATAGGGGTACTTACGTTTTAAGATGTATTTAAGAGAGAAAAAATACTTTGTTAAAATACCTCATGTAATATCTCAGTATCTCCTTTCTTAAAATGAACTTTAATGTCTGCTATGATTTATGAAGAAAATCGAATCATTTGCTAATTTGTTTCTGTATGTACAGTGCTGAATGGAAACTATTAGATCTGTCTTCTATTTATATAGAACATACAGTTGCTAGCCCAGACAGCCTTATCTAAATCAAATAAAAATGCCTTTGATAATACAGGTGGGTATTGATGCATGGTATTTGCAAATCATTTAAAACATAAGGAAGGCACTAGAATAAGGTGTGAAAGATTTAAACTTTAACAGGTTCTGTAGTGTAGGGGCTAGTAGACACTTAGTGATTTCAGCATACTTTTTAAAAAAATAAAAATAAACAATGCACTTTAGTCTGTAAACCCTTGAAGTCAGCTGATTACACTTGAGTTGAGGGAGAAGTTTCACTGACTCGGAGACCTTGCATCAGCCTGTTAGCACATGAAGAATGTGTTGGATTATTTTCCCTTCCCAGCTGTAGCAGTTCTGCAATGCAATGCACACATCCTCCCCAGCAACAGCCTGCGTTTCTGAGGTGGAAATGCCTGCTGTATATATGAAGTAGCACTGCTAGTGTTATCATCATATTTGTGCAAGGGACTGAGGGGAGAAACGCAAAGCAAGCTTAGTCCTACTGTGTGTGTTCCAAATGTGTGCTGGAAAGATCAACGCCTAGGTTTTGTCTTTTTCATTACAGTTTACGTGACCTGGTATCACTAATCTAATCTCATGAGCTTTAATATATTAAAGTAAGTGTTTACCAGCCACTACCTCTCTATAACCCATGGGTACGGTATCTTAGTGCTGACAGGTGCTTATCAATAGAAAAGCATTTTTTTTAAGTGTTTGTGCAATTCTTAGAAAAGAAAAATAGCTTCTTAAATACAGTAGCAAATAAACTAATTTGTGGTAACTGTAGACTTCAGTGATGACCTTCTTGTTCTTGCAGTCTGCTCTTTGCTGTTTTTAAGCTATGCATAGAAGATAAGACTTCAAGTGACTTTTAAAGGGCTTTTATAAACTCATAATGCAAATTTCTTCCTGAAAACATTATATGCAGAACTGTCCTGCAAGATTTATTTCATTAACTAGGAATTTAGTTACTCAGGAAGGGGAAGTACACTGTAGGAGAAGCAGTAGTGTGTTCTATTCTAATTAAGTATATGGATCAATTTTGTAACACAGCAGTTAAAATCTGCCCTGAAAGTTTTAGAAAGGAAAGTAATTGCAAAATTAATATTTGTTTACTAAGCAAGCCATATGCTTACAAAATGTGCTTCTGAAATGTCAGTTTCTGAGGAGTCTTGGAAAGTTCCTAAATCTGCTGCAATTATAATTAACGTCCCAGAGGTATTTAAAGGTTAAGACAAGGCAGTCTTCAAATGTATGGGTGAAATGTCTAATGACGTTATCAGGCAATGTTCATTACATTTTCCTCAACTTGTAATATTTTGTTTATCTCACTGTAATAAAAATGTAGATAAAAGTCTGTATCAAACTTGTTTGGTAGTTGGTTTTTGTTTTTGTTTTTCTTCTTTTCAACTTTTAACAGGCTTAATTTACTCTGTTTTTCTATTTTTGACCTCTCTTCCTTCCCTTTTAGTTGTTGACTTAGTCACCCCATAGAGTTGGTCATTGTTTTCATGTCCAGTGCCTTTCAAATAGTGAAAAAGGGGGCCTTGTAACCCCATCTATATGGTCTTAACAGATAAACCTCAAATTTCTCCCAGAGCAAGGTAATGAGGGTCGGTCATCCAAAGACTAACAGGTTGCAAGGAAGACTGGATGTTGAATTTCCCTGTGTGCAGCAGCCAGCTCAGAAACAAGGGGAGGTCAATGTGACCTGTTACCACAATGTTTCTGTAGGTTTGGTGTGAAAGACTTGCACTTAAATGGGCTCCAGCTGTCTGGGGAGCACAGATTCTGAATAGCTTCACTTGGCTCTTCCACAGTCACTAAGAGGAATACTGAAACACGTCTGGATATTGTTAACCACTGTCAGAGAAAACAGGAACTATTAGCAGCATGAAGCAAAACGTGACTTCTAAAGAAAAATTTCTTTATTCACGGCCAGCAAGTTTGTTACTGAAAGAAATAGCCTATGCAGAGAGCTATGTGGTATCTTCATTCTGCTGGCTGGCCTTCAGCTGGATATCAGAAGAAATAGTTCTGTGATTATCAGAGAGGCAAATAGAGTAGCTGAAGGTCAAGGTAATACAACGGAATCAGAAAATAAAGCAGCCAAGTTCTGAAATCCCCAAGCCAAGCACCCAGCTTGCTGTATATGTAGTTATTTGCACAATATGTACATTGTGTCATGTTGTTAAACAAAAGTCAGTTCTTATTTATGTGCCTGGGTTTACAGTGCTTACACAGACAATACCTTTGCCTGGGGGTAGTTTATATCAACATGAACTAACTGTGGGTTCTTGCCCTACAGCAGGTTGTCAGCCATACCCTGGGTGTGTATTTTTTTTCAGTAAAGGCTTGTGGGACGCTGGATTCCAAGCAGTTAGCTTCCTGAAATAAGTTGTCTAAAGATCCAACTTACCTCTAATCCAGTATTTGTTCAGGCCAGGTGAGAACCTGCTTTTATTTGACACTGAATACCTGGGGGCTCACATTTCTCAGCTCCTCTCATTCGCTTTCACGGTTGTTCCCACTGATTTTATAATTCATCTGTAATTCCTACTTCTTGAAACAAGCTGTATGGCAGTTACACCCACAGGAAGAGGCATTTTTAGTCATCTGAGTGCTTGAACCTATTGGGTAATCTGAGAATTTATTTTATAGAATTTATTTATAGAATTTATTTTCAAACCTCAGGCTGACCATGGATGATATTAACACTGCCTATTAATAAATGGTTGTTTTGTCTGATATACAGGCATATTTTGCTGTCTCTGTTCACAGGATATAATGCCTGAGAAGTAAAGTCAGCTGAGAATAATACAGTGTAAAGAAACTTGATTCCAGCAAACATCCCAACAGAGCTGGGATAAATCCCTGCCCTACTAGGACAGCACTCAGTTAGATGCATCCCTTGTAGAAAGAGGAGAAGGTAATAGTCTCTTAGGAACCCATCTTAAGAGAAATTCCAAACCTTTAGGCCTCAATTAAATCTACTGTCGTAAGGACTTTCAGATAAAGGAGGTTTGGAGCTGACATCATAAAGGTAAACGTGAAGATTCTGGCTTGCTGAGGCTGTACATGCTTTGAGATAGAGTCAGATTAAGTCCTGGGTCTTTCATTTCACTTCCCTGTAAGGTGACATACTCTGCATCTGTCTGGCCTCTTAAACCTGCTCTGGGATCAGCTGCAAGAGCTGGACAGGAGACCAAAATTCTGATAATCATTCCATAGCATGGCTGTGGAAAGGTCTAAATAGCAAGTTGAAGGCTTAGACTTCAGGACAGTTCTGGAACTTTTTACAAGTTATATATGAAAGAGATTGCCTTTATTTTTTCCTAGTAGCATCTGAAATTTTTAAACTTGTCCTTCTAGTACAAGATCCTTTCTTCCATGTCCAGGGTAGCTGCCAAGTCCTGTCTGCTGCAAAATTGCTGTTAGTGTAATCAGGTCTGTGCTATCAACTGCTAAAAGTGCATGTGGATCACCAGGACATCAAAACTGAGTAAGAGAACTCATTTTTAAAACTGATTTTCCTCTTCCCCTCCAAAAAAAGCACATTTCCAACAGGTTCTGATTGGGGAACCGATCCAGCCCACTCCAGAGGTCACCACCCAGGGAGAAAAATGAAGAAAGCAAACATCATTGCCCCTGAGCCAGAACCAGCAAATTAAGATTAAAACCAGATTCCATCAAAATGTAACTTTGGGAAAAAAAAAAAAAAAAAAAAAAAAAAAAAAAAAAAAAGCCACTACATTTGGCTGCTCCTGATATGCATTTTAAAGTGAAAAGGGTATGCACATCTTACAGTTTTGCAATTCTTTTTTAACTTACCTAGCTGCCCAACACACAGATTTTATGGCAGTCTCTCTTCTGAGGAGCAAAGCTTTCTTGCATCCACCCCAGCCCTCCTTGCAGGACCAGGGCTGGTTTGGAAGCTCTGGCCACCGCCAGGCATGCGGTGCACCCAGCTGCCAGAAGGGGACTGAGGATCTGCGGCTGGGGACTGCGCTGGGAGAAAAACACGTGATTTCCAGAATTGATGCCTGTTTTCGATTCCAATGAGGCCATTAGGGCGATTATGTAAGCAGACTATCTCTGCCACTCACGAAGAAATGCCAGGAAAAAGCAAGGAGATTCATATTTCAGCTGCTACCGAAGGGATGTAATCGCAGAGAGCTTGGGCAGAATTACAGCTGGGAATGAACAGTCCACCAGCTGTGGCTTGAAGCACAAATATGTAAATTGCTCAATGAATGCCTTACAGGCATTACACATGTAAAAAGGACACACCATATAGCGTTAAATCATACACAAACTGCCTTCAAATTCAGTAGTGAAGGTTGTTTTCTGTGCTGGTAGAAAACAAAATGAAACCTTTCCCAAAATCTGTAAGACTTGCAGCTTTTTAGAGCATAAATATTTGCAAATGTCTCAGCAGCCACAGTATAAATACATTAACAAGATAAAAGGGATGTTGTACACAAATGCAAGACTCCCTGATGAGTTTGTAATCCTGTAAGAAGAAAACAAGGATACCAGTCACCCGGTGTTTTGCTGAAACGTCCCTGCTTATGCTGTCCATCAGCGGAGAGCAGGGCTCAGCGGCTGTGCGTATGTTGTGCTACAAAAATAAAACAACCTGAACAAAATACACCTCACAACAGTGCTGCACGAGCTACTTTTTGTTTGTAAAATGATCCGTAAATCTCAGTACAGCTTCATACGTGACAAACACCACCATGTTCACAGGAAAGGCCCGAATGCAGTTCAGCCCCAGACCCTTGAAAAGCACTTTCACGCCCTCCTCTCTCACGCTTTGTCTCGCGCAGTGGATGAGGCCCCTGTACTTGTGCTGCCCCGATTCGTCCACTTGCATCCGTGATTTCAGGACGTCCATGGGGGTAGCTAATCCCCAGGCCAGGACTCCAGCAAAGCCACCAGAAAGCAGCACGACCAGGAAACCTGCGGGCGAGAGGGAGGAGCAGTGACCTCCGGCCTTGCACAAGTGTGACTAGAAGTAGCTCAGATTAATTTTCCCCAAACACTTTAACTCTTTCCAAATCTCATGCTACAAGCAATTTTAGGAGCAGGGGAGCAGGCACGGAAGGAGCTGTGAGGCCACACACACTGTATGAATGACTTGGCCTTCCCAGGCCCTGGGCCTGCATCTCCCCTTGTGCCTTGCTGCCATCCCAGCGGGACACGTGGCGGCTCCCCACAACCAGTGCTCTGAGCCATGGCCACAGCCAGCCCTGCTCCTGCAGGACGATGTGTGAGGGAGCTGGCAGCCTCTTAGATAGCCAGACAAGTGCAGGACGGAGGAGCTGCAGCTCAAAAAGCAAGCTGTGCTTCTGGGATAGATGAGGAAGAGGGAAAGAGTATTCTCTCCTCAAGCTGCTGGCAAACACAAGCTTTTTTTTTTTTTTTTTGCTTTTTTTTTTCTTTTAACCTTATGTTTTCCAGCAGCTAATTTTTGTCCAGCTCTTGCAGCTGTGTGATCTCATGCCGACCACGTGGCCCCTCAGTTTCACAGCATTCATCGCAGGCGCTGGTGCAGGGGCAGCACCACTTCACCACCACACGCACAGGTGTGAAGCAGCTGAGAGCAGTCACGCCTGCTTCAGCTGGCTCTGCTTATTTCTTTGTCTCTCAGGAAGATGTTCATTGGGGAATGGCACTTATGTGGTCTTTTCTGAAACTGGCTGGTTGCTTTTTGGAGCCAAATCACAGCTGGGAGACCTCAGACCTGGCCTATCATGATTCCTTCCTGCAGCACACCCACAGCCCAGCAGCCTGAGAGCACAATTTCCCTCCTAGTCCGGTACAAAATAAATCACTTTTGCAGGTGATGCCAGATGCTTGCCCATACCTACCTGGTTTATTTTTCCCAGCTGGCGTGAGCCAGTCACAGAGGGTAGAATAGGTAAGGAAATATATTGCCGAAGAAGAGCAATCCCTGCAGAGCAATGCAGAGCAGCCCTTGTAGAGACCCCCAAAGCCTTCCTCCTTGGCAATCACCTTCAGACAGTGCAGAGACCCTCGGTACTTTGGCTTGGAATTGGGCTGGGCAGACATGGCAGAAGGATGGGGGTTCCTCTGGGTCTGCATCCGAACTTTAGCCACTTCACTGGGTGCCATCAGCACTACCTGTAATATTAGAGGAAGTAACTTAAACCTTCACTTTTAAACTGTGATCTGCACCCTGCCTGAGCCCTCAGATTATGTCTCCCACCTTTTCAGGCAATATTGTTTATTATCTAACACCAGCATTGCCTCCACCTGCCTGTGACTGTGTGTGTTTCCTCCCGGGGCAGTGGGGATCCTGGTGCCTGCAGATGCCCACAAACATCCATCTGCCTACGGGAAACTGCTCCAGAGCTGCCCCACACCATGGCACTGCCCGCTGTGGGCACACATTAATTCCTCTGGGTGACAGCTCCTGCTGCCCCCAGCACCACAGTGCTGTGGGTAAAAAGTTGCCTTTCTGTCCTTTTTTACAGCGTTTTTGCAGGAAAGTGATACTCACAGGCAGCCCACAGTGACCAGCCAGGTCTTTCTGCCCCTGCCAAAACACCAGCTTATGTCTTTCTTACATAAACCTGCAATTAGAGCCACTGGGTACGTTTGCTGCCCGGGTTGCTTTTCTTCCTTGCTGTTTTGTTTTGCCTTTGCCAAGGTCGCAGAGCAGGACCCCATGAGAAAACAAGCCAGCATCCCGCTGAGCCCCCAGCAGAAAACATCACCGCTTTTCCAGCCCCGTGTGTCTGCGAACAAGACCCCTGGTTGTGCTGTCCTGCTTGGCTGCTTGCCTACCCGCACGGCACCAGCGGCACCTCCAGCCAGGGAAACATCCAGCTTGGAAGGCTTGACGTCGGCAGAGCCATATCGCAGCTTGCAGATGTTACAGAGGAAGTTTCTGTAGGTGCCAAATGAAACGGATGAAATCAGCGACACTGAGAAAACTGATGCAGACACCCCTTTGTAAAATCCCAGAACCTAGTTGGAAACAGAGAAAGAAAGAAGAGAATGGCAAGGGAATGTATCTGCTTGACAACACTGCGCATTCACTGCTGAGCCAAAGCTTATTTACATCTTACAGATCGGTGGCAAAGCCAAAATTCATCCTAACCCTTCTCCCAGGCAGTGCCTGTATAACTGCTGCCTGTCCTCTTCAAGCTGAGGCAGCTCTGCTCCTCTGAAACAAGAAGCCATCCATAACATGTATCAGCAGCTGGTGAGAGGTACTTACTTTTTCTGTCCTGTATGTTTCTTGAATGCAGTGCCAAATGCCTTTGTAATGCCTCTCTGTCTGAATTCTCACCTACAAATACAGGGGCAACTTAGAAATACGGAAATCAGGTTTAAAAGCCATCAACAAATGCCACAGCAAAGTAGTTAATCAGCCATAAAATAGCACACACACCCTTAAAAAAATCTTAAAGAGAAAAACAACACAAATAAAACGAAATATGTTGCTGTGACAAAACTGAAAGCACTCAGTCATGGGACTTGTTTTCTGAAAAAAAAAAAAAAAGAAAAACAGCCAGATGGGCTATTTGTGTTCAGTCTGTGGTCAAGAAATAGTTTCAACAGGTACCTTCACTGTGTCCAGCGGATACCCCACTGCTGTGCTGAGGCCACCTGAAACAGAGAGGTTTTTGGAGACGGTTACCAGCACACACCACGACAGGCCCTTTTCCCCAGGAGGTCACTAAGGGGACAGCAGGGAAATGCAGCTGCAGAGCCCGGCAGTCCCTGGCAGCAGGTTGCTGTCCAGCTCCAGCTCCAATGCCTGAGCCAACAGTGACGGAGCAAAATGCGTGGGTTTCTCTGAGCGATCAAAGCATGCTCAGAGGGCGAATCTGAGTGCCACAGGAAATCTGACAGGAGCAGTAATACCAGGGTGTGAGGCGGCCTGGGAAGAACACAGAAAGCCTCGCTAGCTGCATGCATGCCATCAGCTGCAGGGGCTCTATGCGGCCCTATGGAAAGGGAACCCAGTGGGAAGGCTGAGGGGATGATCCACAATACTGGGCTGTTTCTGGTCCCCCTCTCAGCTTCAGCACTAAATCCTCTCTGGGCCATGAGCAAGCACCCTTGCAAGAGGAGTGAAGCACGAGGGGGCTCTGGAACAATTGTGGCTCTCTAGGCTTGACTTGGGAATATTAAGGAATAAAAGTAACAGTCACACGGACACTTATTAGAGAGGCGTGGTCCCTGGGCACTACAGGCTCTCAGCTACCTGTCTTCTGCCTTAAAGACAGCAGCAGTGCTCCTATTGCCTCCTGCATGCCAGGGACTGGATGCCTCCTGGCTGCACTCCACAGGGCACAGCTGGAGCCCTGGCTGAGGACGTCACTGGGTTTTACACTTTTTCATCAGCACTAATTCACTGGGTTAAGCCTCTGAAGGGCATCTCCCATGCGCACCAAACACTTTGTACACTGCAAAAGCAAAGGAAGGAGCAAAAGCAAAGTTTTGAGGGAAGAGAGAGCCTTAGATGGGAGCCCAGGCAGGTGTGGGACAGGGCAGGATGAAGGCGCAGTGAAGGTATACACAAAGCCGCCGTGCCCAGCAGCACACCCTGCATGCAGCTGCCTGGGAGAGCAGCAGCATTTCCAGCGTGCTAGGGGGATTTGTCAGCCCTGCATCGACACCCAGCCTCAGCTCGAGACCTTAAAATAGCCACCGGTGCTGGAAGCGCATTAATCCTATCAGACGTCTCTGCCTTGGTGGCAGATGAGGAAAGTGAAAGAGCTGCAGCATGGCCATGGCAACAAGTAGTTCAACCTCCATCCCTGCCTTGCTGCCACAGTACAGGGCACGGGGCCTGAGCAGCTAAATTCCTCCCAGCCTATGAATGCCAAGTGAGCTGAGAGGGGATCGTGCTGGGTGACAGCAGTGCTGTACCCCCGTGAGTTATTTACACGGAGATCGAGCTCATAAGGGAGCCTGTTAGGGCAGTCACAGACACAGTGCACAGCTGGAAACAGCCTCCTGGTGACTCCTTCTTAAAAAAAAAATAAATAAATAAAAGTTATTTAAAAATACAGTAGTTGCTGTGGGTGTTTCACTGAGTACATTCATCTGTGATCGCACATGGTGGCTTGGGAGCTCTGGAAATGCTGCCGTGTTTTGGGGAAAAGCAGCAGCTGCTGGTGGGAGTCACTGGGAAGCAATCCTGAAGTGCACAACTCAGAAAAAAAAAACAACGAACAGTGCCCTGCTTGCAGGAAAATGAGGGTTGTTCTGCAAGAGACTTTGTCTGCCCCAGATAAATAACAGCAAAGGTTAAAAAAAAAAAAAAAAAAAAAGCCAAGAAATGACTTTCTGTATTTCTGGACCAAAATGAGGGAAGGTTGGAAGAGGGGGGAGCACATGTAACCCAGCTGGAAGGACTGGAGCAGCCACAGCAGTGACAATGCACCGAGTCACCCAGGGCCACCTGCCCCGTGCCAGCTTCCTGGCTGGCAGCAGGCAGCAAGCACGGGTTTGTTTGCCCCAAACCAACCTGCTTAGCTCTGCTGCTCAACCCAATGCACACCTTGGTTCAAGGACTGACCATAAAGGTGAATTTCTCACTGCCTCCTCTAAAGTGGAGGCATGAGCCCCAACACCTCCGAGCAACCAGGGCCTCCTGTGAACTGTGCTCCCTACGAGCCAAGGCAGTGAAGTTTTAAGAGCCAAGGAGCCCAGCCAAGTCTGTCAAAGGCTGAGGAGGAAGGGCTCTGCACAATGTCACCTGATATTAATAGCCTGGGACAAAGATAGCATGACCCATACATGCACTGTCTGCGGGGCAGAACCTGGCAGAACCTAGCGTGCATACAGGGAGAGGGGTCCTATGGGGCACCTGGGGAGTAACACCCCCCGGCTGTGAGGGAAAGAGATGGCAAAGTCAGGTGAGGGATCCCCAGCGGGCTGCAGGGAGCTGCTTCTCACACCTACTGCATTGGGACGTTCTCAGGTACTGAGCAGGGGCTGCAGATTCCCCAACGCACACATCCCAAAAACAGGTAGCTCACCTTCTCTTCACAATCAGGCCACTTTGGCCAAGAAACTAAAACAAGGAGGGGTCCTGGTCACTGTAATAGCAGGCAGCAGAGTGCAAGGAGCCCCACACAGAGCCCACCGACCTGCAACAGCTCCCAGCAGGGGCACAGTCCTGGCTCCAACACCCTGGAAGCAGCAGGGATCATGGCCTTGTGCTTTGGATGGGTAGACAGCAATTTCCAAAGGCCTTTATGTTGTGAAGAGTTGGGAGCATAAGAACTGTCCCATACCCTCAAGAAGCTGGGCTCCTTCCAGTAACGTGACCCTGGCTGTGGTCAGCAGGGCTGCTTTAGCTGTAGGGACAAGGAGACAGCGCGTTCCCTCCATAGGTGGGCTATTTTATCTGCCCTTGGGCTGCGTGTGCCCGCTGTGTAACCTCGCAGCAGGGTGCAGGGAAGCCAGGGTGTGCAGCAGCTCTGCCACCCTGTTGGGGCGGTGCTGGGTGACTCAGCTGCCCCATCCCAAATCCCTGCTGCTGGGACGAGTGTCGGGTCACCCCCAGGTCAGCGGTAGCCCCAGGCATCGGTACACATCCTCTGCCAGGCGTGGGCTGCTGCAGGAGCAGGGCTAGAAAACACACATGGGGAAATTCAGACTGGAAAGGACATCAGGAGATTTCTGGTTCAACCTCTTTCTCAAAGCATAGCTGGCTTTATTGGGTGGGAAGGATATCCTTGCAGATAACCTGCTTTCCGGGGCATCCCATTTATTGGTTATTGAAAGTCTCCATAGCTACTAAGCTTGCTTCTCACATGATGTTGTCTCCTGGAGGCACAGCAGCAGCTCACTGCTTTCCAGGCTGAAGATGCTGACCCTGTCCCATGGACACAAAAGCAATAGTTCAGAGCAGATGCACAGTGTTTGTGCAGGTGCCTGAGCCAGGCTGGGTGGTTAGGTGGGTTTCGGAAGGGCAGCATCCCTGCTGCTTTTCTGAGGTGCTCAAGCCATGCTTTGTCCAAAACACTCTGAAAACAGATCAAGGTCACAACTCTGTGGCCAATGAGGCCAAGTGCAAGGTCATGCACCTAGTCCAGGGCAATCCCAAGCACAAATACAAGCTGAACACAGAATGGTTTGAGGGCAGACCTAAGGAAAGGGACCTGGGGGTGGTGGTTGTTGAGAAGCTTAACATGAGAAGGCAATGTGTGCTTGCAGCCCAGAAAGCCAACTGTATCCTGGGCTGCCTCAAAAGCAGTGTGGTCAGCAGGGTGAGGGATGTGATTGTCCCCCTCTGCTCTGCTCTCGTGAGACCCCACCTGGAGCCCTGCACCCTGACCTGGGGCCCCAGCAGAAGAAGGACATGGGGCTATTAGAATGAGCCCAAAGGAGGGCCATGAAGACAATCAAGAGGCTGGAGCACTTCTCCTATGAGAACAGGCTGAGGGATCTGGGGTTGTTTGGCCTGGAGAAGACAAGGCTTTAGGGAGACCTTATAAAGGCCATCCAGTACCTAAAGGGGGTGTACAGGAAAGGTGGCAAGGGACTCTTTATCAGGGAGTGGAGTGCTGAGGCAAGGGGAAATGGCTTTAAACTGAAAAAGGATAGAAGAAATTATTCACTCAGAGGGTGATGAGGCAGTGGTACAGGCTGCCCAGAGAGGCTGTGGATGCCCCATCCCTGGAGATGTTCCAGGCCAGGCTGGATGGGACTTTGGGCAACCTGGTCTGGTGGAAGGTGTCCCTGGCCGTGGCAGGGGGTTGGAATAAGGTCTGCAAGGTCCCTTCCAACCCAAGCCGTTTTTTGATTCTGTGATTCTATTGTGATCTGTGTTGCCTCTTGAGTAGTTTGATGCACTTCAGTTGGGTTTGCAGCCTCCTTGGGAACACAAAAACTGCTTCAGCTCTAACAAACACAAACTGTGAAGTAAAGTCATCACCTCAACATCCCAGTTCCCACAGAAAAGTTGTCCCAGCCCTGGAAGCTGTCCCATGTTGGGGTAGGCCCTGGTGCTTGGTTACCTTGAAGAAGCCTTTGTGCAAGCTCCCAGCAGGGAACAGTGCAGCAGCAAACAGCCCTGCCAGGAAAAATGGCATTATACATCTTAGAAAAAAACTGAGCTGGACACAGATGAGAAGATGGAAAACCCTGCTCTCAGACAGCCTGGGGTCAGTGAAATGTGTTAAGACAAGCAGGCCCTTTCCTGGTCCCAGGTAGAGCCGCAGCCAGCACCCTGTCCAGCTGAGCCCGTTCCCAGGGTGCCCAGGGGAGATGCTCGGTGTGCAGCCGGGTGGCACACAGCTGGTGCTGGGCAGAGGGCACTACAATTAAGTTTATCCTTCAGTGGCTCAGCTGCAGCTGTGCCAACAAAAGCAAAGGTCTCCAACCATCAAACACGGCCCAGCCCAGCCATTCACACCACCCATCAGGGGAGGTTTGGTGAATCCCTCTGATTTCCTCAGCAAGGAAAGAGGAGAGGGACGAGCTGTCATGGAAGGGGTTGGCTGTATCCCCCTCTCTCAGGGGGGGCCCTTCCCAAACTGGGTCCCCCAGCACCCCAGGAAGGCCAAAGCCTGGAGCAGCCAGCACCTCCGGGGCTGGATGCTGCTGAGACACCAAGCTTCACCCTGCTTACACCAAGAAGCAAAAAG